TACAGGGGAAGTGAAGGAAACGAAATTTGTATTTCTTTTTTTGCTGACTGACGGGCGTTGAATCGATGACTGACCATTTATTTCATGATTGATATAACAACAAATATCCTCACAAAAATTTCGAAGTGTAGTGAATGAATTGCAATTCATTTATTTTTTGCATACATTGGGGCTGACTGACCAGCTCCCGTCCCCACAGTCAGCTGACTGACTTTCATAACTTTTATTCATATGCAATATACAATGTGTATAATGGTTTTCAGCCTTAGTAAATTCATTGCATTACCTCGGTAGGAACGACAACTTCGATAGTATACCAGGGACACCTGTTCTCAGTTTAGCTTGACTGACCGCAGTATGTTTGTGTACAAAATCGCTGTGATAAACTGTGAAAAAACTAGGCTTAGTAAATTCATAGAATCTTTTTGGCTCTGGCTCTCCGTCTATAAGTATAGATTTCTGATGACTTCAAAATACTACCAGTTGGGCCAACTTGCCTATGCTAATAAGGGAGATTCAGAGTGCCGGAAAAATTGTATAATTCATTTATATTATTATAGTCCAAGAGCCGGCTGCAAATTTCGACCTTCATAACTGATAACGAAATGATATACAGTATGATGCAAATGTATGGAATAAATTCATTCCAAAACAAGACGACTTCCGAAAAAAATCCAAAAAGTAGAGTTCAGAACATTTTTATCGATGTATTTTTTTCAACTATAGACGACCCTTTGATGTTCAATTCTCAGTAGAAGATCTCTGCAAGATTCAGTTAACCAAATGATAATCAATTTTAATTTCAATCTTCTTTTGCAAAATTTTGACTATTGGATAGACGATCAGTAGACCTTTCAAACGAGGTGTCACATGACCCCTGTTTGTATTTAAAAAAACCGTCCATTACGTCATTACTCCAACACCGGTGACGTAACATCTCTCAAATGAATGTCATGAGATGAGGTTTCAAAAATTAAAACTCACGTGTTTTTGGAATTTCTTCAAATGTCGCCCATTTCTGAAATAATGAATTTATTCCATACATTTGCATCATACTGTATGTTCCCCAGCATATAAAAGTAATAATAGTAGTTTATCGAACAGCACCTGTGCCATTCACTATCCTGAGAAAAATGATAGAAAAATTGCACTTTCCTGGGTGGAAATTTGTACTCGATATCGCGATTTGATAACGAGGTAAGAATTATGCCATCCGATACCAATTGAATGGTAAATTTCAAAAACCCACCTATGACCCTCAGTCTCAGCCAAATACACGGCACAGCGATTTATTTGCTGCTATATTATTCCGGACATACTTCCGTCATGTGATAACGAAATGAAACAAGAAGCAGATAAAAAGGGGATGTGGTGACGTCACCTTAGTGAGGCCTGCTAACAGCGGCTCGAAACGACAAACGCTTATGGCGCTATAAGGCGACCGCGTATTTCAATTTTGGTTTTAAGATCATTATTGAGCCGATTTTGCTGTTTTTTTTTTGAAGGGTTTCCGGTTAAAACAGGATGCCAGTCGTCAACTGAGCCCTTCTTTGCATCCCATCCGATTTAATTATGGAAAAACGAAGTTTCAAAGCAAAAACCAGAATAAAACACAAATACCCACCTAAAGCAACCCATTCGAATTAAATATATTGGTAAAAATTTTAGTGATTCAATCTTATTAGAGGTTAACTTCACACCTACTTATACGGGGCCATCAGGACATAAACTCATCGTGAGATTGATCGAAAGAAAATTGGGGAAAATATATTTTATTTTGATAGACATGCAGTTTGTTATAATTACCTATATTTATATTGGAGAATTCCTATCACCTAAAAACTTAGCCAGTGAGTGTTTTCAATTTCCTGTTGTTGGATTTTTTGCCCAACTGATCGTTAGACTTGAAACAGTATTTTTTAAGTAGAGTGTGTAGTACATGTTAATATGATAGTTGCGATTTGATCATTGAAATGAATTCTGCATTCATTGCAAATGACCGTTTTCAGAAAGAAATTTGAGAATGTATTGAGTTGAGAATGCCCGTTTATTATGAACATTCAAGGATATTTCCTCGGATTCAGAGATGTTTTTTTTTTAATATAATATACGAATACAAAACTATCACTGCACAATCAAAGCTTGCGGATAGAGTAATTTTTCTCTACTCATACTTTTTACGAGAGAAATTGTCTTCTATTATTAATTCATCATTATAAATCAAGTTCTGTTTACAAAATTCGCACCGAATTTTTCTAAGTGTAATATAGCAACAATAACCTGCTAAATAGGTTATTACCGGCACGTCATCACTATATTTATCTATATCAGATTCCTCGACTATAATATCTGGAATGAAAGAATGATTTTCTTGGCTTTCTTCGATGGAATCAGTATTTTCGTGGAAGCACCTGATTTGTATATTACCGTATAAGTACGAGATTTCAGCGTGAGCAGTGATTGAATTCTGAGCCTTTTTCCGATTCATACAATTGTCGAATAGATATGTGATATTGTCCATCTGAAAGTTGACGATATTTCCCGAACCTATGTTCCAAAGCATCTGTTTGAAATTTTCCTAATAATACATAATTCATTTTGAATCCGTTAAAACAATATTGTATAACTTCTGTCATTCCATATATAGTGTGAATAAAAGCAATATGTGTTTGGTTTGTCAGTTTATTAGTAGAATTTGCAGATTTCCAAGTTTCCAACCAATCTATCATTTTATGCAAAGCGATAATTTTGAACCACTTTTCGGGCAACAGAAAAAACTCTAATACAACTAGAAATTCTTGAAATTCTGTGTAGCAAAATGATTCTTGGTAATTTTCGAATTCAGTTCTACTTTTGATAAGTGCTTTTGCCAAATTTTTAGTCTGTAGTATCTCAAATTTTTCATCACGACTTGTGCGTAATTTTACATATCTTTCGATAAATAAGATGGACAGTTAGGAAATCGAGTAGGAATAACATCTCGTTTGAGCCTAGGAATTTTCAAATTTTTTGTTACAGTATTTCCAGTTTTAGAATTGGTTGCAGTAGATGAAGTAATAATAGGATCTTCAGTAAAATGTAATTCACATACTCTACTGTACTTAGATGGAGTAAAATCCTCGCGGTGAATTGCATATACCCACTTTTTCGATAGTTCCTTGTCCAACGGGAAACTGAAAGCATGAACTTTTGGACCACCCACATAATTCCCCCGACAAAAGGGAACACAACACTTGAAAGGCATTGTTATTTCGCCTATCACAACACAAAATATTTCACAGAACAGTAATTTTTCCGCCAATTATTTTGATGAATAAACAACAAAAGAATTCGGGCACGCGACCGCTTCTCGAACATACCTAAACAAACTGACGACAGTCGACACGCGAACGTGTGGCCTCAGTTAGCTGACGTCACGAGCTGTTCACTACGAGCCTTCAGGCCTTGTTAGTATCGGGGGTAACGGATGATGTCGCCTTTACGAATATCCAAACATGCCGCGATTCAAACTGATCTAAGTTAGTGGTAGAGCGTCAAAATACTTCTCATAATATTTTGCCCCCTCTAGAGGTAATATGCGATGGACCAGTGTAGAACTCAACAGGTGGATTAGAATACTTGTAGTGTGAGCACCACATGAGTTTCACACTGGTCCATCGGATATTATCTTTCGACGAGAGCGAAATATTCAAGGAAATATTGACGCTCTGCCACTAACTTAGACCTGTTTCGCAAAAGGGACATTTTCCCCTTTCATTTGCTTTTTGTTTTCACTCGTTATCACATGATGGAAGAATCTCCGGAATAATAGGAGCAAATACATCGCTGTGCCGTGGATTAGGCTCAGACTATGGGAGGGCACAGGTAGGTTTTTGAGATCTACCATTAAATTGGTATCGGATGGCAAAACTATCATCTCGTCATCAAAACGCGAAATCGAGTGCAAATTGCCGGACAGAAAAGTGATATTTTTTTCATTTTGCTCAGGATAGTGAATGGCACAGGTGCCGTTCGATAAACTACAATGTTTTAACATTCCTTTGAGCATATATCAATTCGTTATCAGATGACGGTAGAAATCTGCATCCGGCTCTCCTACTATTATACCTAAAATCGCATTAAAAAAAACGTACAAGTATATTACAGAGATCAATTAACGTCATCCTATTCTGCATAAAACGGGTTTGATTGTTCACCAAAAGTTGTCATAGGTTCTCGAAAACACAAAGCATTGGCTGAGCCAGTTTTACACAACTAGAACTAGGATCCCAAAATCCTCTCTTTTTAATACTTGTACGCTTTTTTATTGAATACGACTGTACCTCGAACTTTTTGAACATGGATACATGATAGCTTTGAATCTAGAGATTTTTTGCATGAGAAATCATAATCTGTAAATTACTTCAATGTATTTTCGAGAAGGCACAAATAATAATAAGCTATTTTTTGTGGGATGAATGCGCACTCAATTGTAATAGCTGTTTTTGGAGACGATAAAATATCACATCTGATATACAGGGTGGCATTGAAATAAGTGCAAATTTTTTAAACACTGAGAAAGCTCGACGTTGTACTATCGAATCTCATTAATGAAAGAAGTTTAGGGATCAAAATTAAATTTGAGGTTAGACCCTTTTTTCCACCCAAAGTTCTACACTGTATTTCCATGCGATAGGCTCAATCACGCGGAGTTGAATCATTTAAATTGTTTTAAAGTGGCGTACTTGATTTTTTCTCGTTTTGTGTTCAATTTTTGGGATGAAATTTCTCGTTTATTGACAGAATTAGAAAAAATCTGATATCATGGGAATATTCCTCAGACTGTATCACATTTTTGTGCTGAATATGTAAACTTATTTCAAAAACACCTCGTATATACCAAAAACGCGAAAGTAAAACGATCAATTTCTTCAGAAGATACAGGTTGTCGAAAAAGAGTCAAATTTGAAAAGAGGGGACAATGTTAGTGGCCTTCATCAGTGATTCAAAAATTAACTTACCGAAATATTTTCATACGAGTAAAATCCTGTAAAATTAAATATGCCTTCATCTCCAACATAAGGTTTTCCATCTTTTTTATAGTAGGACGATCTGTCATGATTGTACAAGTTATGGAACCCTGAAATATCGAATAACATTTATTACTGTCCCTGAAAAATCATAATAGGAGGTAAAAATACAAAGAGAGTATTTCTGAAATTAGGGCAATAAATAAAAAATCGTGCAACAATATCATCCACTGAAGTGGAAAGACATCAATGCCAACGTTAGCTCTGGTTGCTTGAAATATATCGAAAAGAGTTGAAACCGAAAGAAACAGCACAGAGAGTGAAAATTAGTATAGTAATAGTAAAAACATTTACGAGTTGAATACTGTCTGTATTCATTTTTTCAGAATATGAGTATTACTTCAATAAACGTGAAGTGAAAACAAATCAGCTAGGTGATATTTGCCCCAAAATGTCACTGCTTTTGAAAGTTTTCCTATCAGAGAGCATAACAGAAAAATTCAATCGATCATCAGTGACACTTTGTTTTGAAAAATGTTTGAAGAAGGGAAATATAAATCGAGAAAATGTAAATTTTTTTACTTTGGACGTTTGGGAACGAATCAGCAATCAGATTTTCAACATAACAAAAATGGAATATATTATTGAAGAATAATTGTCTTCAGATAGCAGTGTTTCGACACTTCTCAGTGCCAGATGTCGAGGTTGGCATACGAATGAGTTACAGGATGTTTTAATGAATTAATCGCGAATTCATCAAAAAATCAATCAATAGATAGGATATATGTATGTACAGGGTGTCCTGAAATCACATTGAAAGATTTCAACCACAGATTCTATGAACAAAAATAAGTAAAATAATGCATATAAATAAGGGTCCAGAAATGCCCCCCTGGAGGTTTATAGCCCTCTGAAGGGGTGTCCGAGATGATGGTTTTATGTGAATACTTTTGAAAACCTCTGTGATAAAATCTCCAAATTGTGTAAATGTACCTTACTTTTCATGCTCGATTTGGAAATGTTAAGAATTTTCCGAAATTTTGATCAGGGGCGTGTGAAAAAGTTGGGACTAGGGACACTTTTTCTCCCAACTGTCTTGTTTATCCGGGAAATATGAAAATATCAAGATTTAACTCACAAATGGTCCTTTTGTTTACTTTCGATAGCATTCACCATTTTCGAGATAAATCCAATTTGAAAGTCAGCTGCGTAATGCAAATAATGCTTTTATCTGATGGCATGTCATAATGACAACGTTATGTCACTCAATTTTGATGACATAAGGAAGCTCATTATGGGACTAAGTACCCTAATGAATTCATTATGGGACTAAGTACCATAATGAATTCATTATGGTACTAAGTACCATAATGAAATTCTATAAGGAAAACATGTAATGGTTTGATCAAAAAAGTTTATTCAAAATGCATAACTATGTACAAAACTATTTATTATAAATGGTAAAAGAACAATTACTACAATTTGTAATATTAATATAATGGCAAAGCACAGCTCACTCACCTACTAATATTTGAAACTACACAATACTCACTCCTTTAAAAATAGTTGTCATTGTGACATGTCGAAAATGCAGTTTTTAATTGTTCGCAAATGTATTGATATAAATGCCATCAGATAAAATTTTGTATGTAATACGAATCATAAACAATCATTATGGCACACGCCGTGTTATCGGACTCGGCTACGTCTCGCCCGATAACATTCACGACTTGTACCATAATGATCGTCTTCATGATCCTTATTACATAAATAACTATTTCCTTATAGGATGATAGTACCCTCCATACCGCCTTCTCTTCCAGGGCTCCAATACCAGCCAGAAAAATCAGAAACGAACGAGGGAGAAATGTTGACAACATAAATATGGACTTGGCAACAATTCTCGAATGGGGATCCCATAACTTGGTAGATTTCAATGCAAACAAAACACAAGCATGTCTTTTCTCTAGAAAAGCCGATCTCACTGTGCCCAACATAAGCTTGTCAGGAGTAACCATACCTTTGAAGACATCCATTTCGATGCTTGGTAATACTATCAGCAATAACCTTTCTTGGGAAAATCACGTGAGATCAATTGCCAAAAGTGCATCTCAAAAACTTAGAATTCTGTTTCGGGCCAGGAGCAATTTCACTTCCAGTCAGCTGCTTATGATCCATAAGGCACAGAGCCGACCTGTTCTGGAATACTGTTCCCATATTTGGAGTGTAGCACCCAAACATACCCTGAAACTGTTGGCAGTCCCCGTGAGATTAACCCGTCGAGTTGAGGTTTCGCACCCCCTCGTGGTCACTTTGGATACCAGCAGAAAATGTCTTTCCAAAGACTCGTTCATCCAACGAACAGCGAGGCTCTGGAACACATCGCCAAGGGAGGTGTTCCCCGAGGCATATAACCTCCAGAAATTCAAGAACACCAATTCCTACCTTATTTTTCTTGGTTCTCACGATGTTCTCTGAACATTTACAGGATATCAGTTTTCGTGGGAACCAGAACATAAAAAAAACATTACAAGATATTCCTTTTCGTGGGAACCAGAACATAAAAAAGGGTAACGAATTTTTACAAAAATTATTGCGATAAAAATAATTATTGGAGAAATGATATGGTTGGTCCCCTATTAAGAGAAAATACAATTTTTATTATGCATTACGCAGCGGACTTTCAAAATCGAGTCTCGATAATGGTGAGCGCTATCGAAACAAAACAGGAGTACCCTTCTCATTTTAATATTTCCTAGCTTCACCAATTTTCCTTGCCCTTGATCAAAATTTCGGAAAATTCCCCACATTTTCTGATTGGGCATGAAAAGTTAGACACATGTACAATTTGGCTATTTTATCACAGAGGGTTTCGAAAATATTTACAAAAACCATCATCTCCGGCTCTCCTTCAGATGGCTATAACCCCTAAAGGGGGCATTTCTCGGCCCATGTTTGTATGAAATTTTTCAACTATTTTTGTTCCTGCAGTCTGTGATTGAAATCTTAGATAGTTATGAACCTTCAATAACTTACAACATCCATATGTTGTGTAGGTTTGACACTTCTTTGAAAGCACCCATGTTAAGCTCCATGCAGTGTCGAACGCCACGTTCATTATTTGTCCAGGATGGCCAATAACAATTTTTCCATAAAATTCATTCTGCAACGAAATTCATTATTCGATTTTAATATATATTCAGTGGGCCCAAGATAATAATAATGATAATAATAATATTTATTTTATCCTTTGAGACATTACGAGATGTAAAGAACAAGTCAAGCGCTCACAAAATGGTTCAAAAATGAAATACATGATGAAAAACACAAAATACAATTATTGTCAGTAAAAATTAAAACAAATGACAACAATGGCTACAATGACTACTACAAGTCATCCTGCAGGAATTCTTCTATAGTTCGTTTAGAAGAAGAATTTGAAATTTTATTTTTAATGAATGTTGGAAGATGATTGTATAATTTCATTCCCATATATCTAAAACTATTTTCTAGTTTTGTTCTTCTGTGTTTGGGTATGCGTAGGAATGGCGTAGGAGATCTGAGTTTCTGGTGTCATAGTAATGATTTGAAGAATTCAGTTGGAAGGTATTGATGTTATTTCTCACATATAGAAGACAGTGATGAATAAACACGCTGTAAAAAGGCATTATTTTATATTTTATAAAGGTGGGTTTACAAGTTTGATGATATTCCATGCAGTCGGAACATCTTTCGAATGATTTTCTTCTGACACAAATATTTTAGTTACATCGACCTACCTCATAAAATGATATTAACACAAGTGACTGTATACTAGACTATACAGTATGATGCAAATGTATGGAATAAATTCATTTCAAAACAAGACGACTCCCGAAAAAAATTCAAAAACTAGAGTTCAGAACTTTTTTTATTGTGTATTTTTTCAACTAGACGACCCTTCGATGTTCAATTCTCAGTAGCAGACCTCTGCAAGATTCAGTTAACCGAATGATAAACCATTTTAATTTCATTCTTATTATGCAAAATTTTGACTGTTGGATAGACGATCGGTAGACCTTTCAAACGAGGTGTCACGTGACCCCTGTTTGTATTTGGAAAAATCGTCCATTACGTCATTACTCCAACACCAGTGACGTAACATCTCTCATATGAATGTCATGAGATGAGGCTTCAAAAATTAAAACTCACGTGTTTTTGGAATTCCTTCAAATGTCGCCCTTTTCTGAAAAAATGAATTTATTCCATACATTTGCATCATACTGTATATAGTATACATTAATTATTGCACTGGTGGGCATGGTGCCTCTTATTCTAGATATCGCATAATATACTTTATTTAATTTGGTGTTAACAGCGTTAACTTGATCTTTCCATCGAAGATAGAGTCAATATTCAAACCCAAGAACTTTGTTGTTGCAGTTGATTCAATCATTGTTTGGTTATCAAAGTTTATAGTAAGAGTACTTGAGTTGTTGACCATATTATGGGAATGAAAATATATGCATTCTGTCTTCTCAACATTCACCATCTAACAGTTGGACTTGCACCAATTCACGAAGGTTCGTACAGAATCCTTGATAGATGACATGAGTTCCTCCGAGGACTGAACTGAGACTGCCAATGATGTACATCGTCCGCATATATGATCAAAAGGTGAGATTTCAAATGTTCCGGTAAGTCATTTATAAAAAGTAGAAATATTAAAGGCCCCAACACAGATCCCTGAGGAACTCCTCTGTCCATAGTGTAAGATTCTGATTTGGCCTCCCCTACTTCTACTAGCCTCTTCCTATTGGTTAAAAAATCTGATATCCATTCAAGAAAAATCCCTCTAAATCCTTTATTGTATACTTTATATTTTCAATGGATTTCATGTCAAAACAGTCGAAAGCACGTGATAGATCAAAAAACAGACCTGCCACGAGGTGGAAGATACGAATTATTCGGTTATATGGGAAAAAATTTGCGCCTTCAGAGGTACATTCAAAAAGAGGAAAATTTTCAAAATTATTAATTCATTTTTATATGTTATACTGCAATTGAAATATTTTGCTAAAATTATTACATCAATTTTGATATTTTTGGATTTCATCCAGCACGACTCTGCGTGGCTTCGGATACTACATGGATAAGAAACGGCTGATTTCAGTCACTTCTTTCAAAGGAAGAAGGCAACTGCTCTTCCATTCAACCCAGGAAAACATAGGTTTATACATTCATCTAGGTATATATACAGGGTGGCTGGAATTCGAGCCTCATCATTGGGATCTCGTATACAGGGTAGGTTAAATTATAGCAAAGTTGCGCAATCTGATGCCTACTAAAATTCCGTTCTGAAACTTGAAAAATTCCGAATACTTCCGGAGATATCCGAGAAGAATCGAAATTTCATGAAACCAACCGTTTCAATTTTTTTCTGGCATTATTTGAAGAAATCAATCGATATGAATGACATTTCATCATATCCAATTTTTTTTGTCAACAAGAGGGCGTTTTCAAATTCGAAATCTGACGTTTCGTCTTTCAGAAACCATCATCAACTTATTTTTTTTCAAATACGGACCTGGATTTTTTATTTCATTTTTTGTTATCTTTGGATTGCCCTAAAACTATGAGCTATTACAAATTTCGATTTTTGAATGTTTCGATGATAAAAATTGACAGTTTCTTTATTTTTTCAAAATATTACCGAAAATGAAAAAGGCGGCCTTGATTTCAGAGATGACAAGTCACAATCACTCGTAAAGTATGACAGTTCAATACTTTGAATAATTTGCGGGATCAAGAATGGTGTTTTCCAATTCAGATAAACGTGATATGGTCCGAATTTATTAGTGTTAATAGCAACTCGCAAATTTCTTGTGAGAGATATTTACAGCAATACCCTGAACGACCACAACCGCATTACACGTATTTCAATGATTTGGACAAGAATTTGAATCTGTATGGTAGTTTCAGCACAAGTTTTAGTAAACCCCGAAATACGTATTGCGATAGATTTGAAGCTGAAGATGAAGGAGCTGTTATAAATGCGGTAAGAAATGATTATTTATTTAATTCAATATTTGCCATAATATTTCATCGAAATATTTTGAAGGTTACGGAAAATCCTCCAGGTTCACACGACAATTTGCTCTAGAATCAAATATGCCTATATAGAAGCCGAATTCAGAAGATTCTCAAAAATCATAGGTATCATACTTATAAATTACATGTCAGCCAAAAACTCAGACCAGGAGATAGTGAAAGAAGGCATGATTTCTGCAATTGGCTTGATGGAAAATTGCAACAGAATGAAGATTTTTCGAATAAGATTACTGGACTGATGAATGCAATTTTTCCACGAGCGGCCTTTTCAACAGAAATAATGAGAAGTGCGAAGGCAGGGACGGACATCATCCAATGTCTGGGTGGGGCTGTAACGAAACAAAATTTCGGGGCCAATTATTTATGATGGGAATTTGAATAATGATCGATACCTTCATTTCATCCAAAATTCAGATGCTCTTGATGACGAGCCGTTCAATATACTTCAGCAAATATGGTGGCAACAGTATGGCGCACCACCCCAGATAGTGAATCGAAAGTTAAGATAGGGACATGTAAGCCGTTTTGATCGATAATGAATAGTTTCGACACAAAAAAATCCTAAAATTGAAAAATCTCGATTTTGATCACCCTTTATCTCTGTAATCATTCCTGCTATTCCACAAGTGTAATGCATTGATGAAATCAGCACTTTAGGAAGAATCTAATGATGCAATAAAATACAGGGTGCTCCATTTAAAATAACGAAGTTGCTAGTTCTTTCTGATAGAAGTGGCAACACCGTATCGATGAAAATATTTTAAACGGATAGAGAATGTTCGATTATCAAACCATCCCAATTTTCAGAATGTTTTGTCTTTTCGTTCACCAGACACTTCTAATAGGCCATCTACCGTGGATCACCCTGTATTTCATGAAAGAGCGCATAAAAGTATCCTCCACGCAGTCTGGGGCTTGGATGGTGTTAGCCATCAGGGGGGGGGGTGTTTCGTTCTATTCGATTAGGAGTCTAGTCAATGAACCTCATCTCCTGAAGCCATGCTCCTTACAATGATAAATCCCTTAGATTTGAATACAAACATTATATAGGTAGGTACCTACTTCAAAAATATTCGACGTCCTATTATTTTCATATTCGGCAGGAAGTGTAGAGGTACTATATACACCCTACTAAATCATGTTGAATGAATGTTTCTGGTTGCCTCCAGAGGCGTACGACAGAGGCAAGTGACTGGTTGATCTTCTCCAAATTCTACGCCACTGGCGGTATTTCCATTTCATCAAAATTTTTCGATTCTCCAATACATTTTACGTATATATCATAGGTAGCGATTAAGTCATTATTATTCGAGATTTCTCAAGATAAACATAAAGCTGCACAATTATTTTGATTTTGATGTGTATCAATTATGTCGATATTTTGGTTCACTATTGCATCTATCAATCAAGTTAAACTTCAATCCAGATTAACCAATAAAAACATGATAACATAACAGACGAGATTTTCAAAATTTTGTTTTTGTATAAATATAACAAATTAGACACATAATGAACAACTGTTCAATTACATATTCCTGAAGTGAATCCATAATATTGCTATTTATGGATATGAAATGTGTAGTAGGTATGCGTTTTAAATCCAGGTGTTTGGGGCCTCCCGTTTCCATTCCGTGGTAATACAAACAATTTCTTACACAATCCTCTCCCCTCGTTGGGCGCCAGATGAAACGGGAAAAGCACTCGACAGGCTTGGTTTTCGTATATGTGTGTTATTTGCGAGTTTTAATGATGGATAAAAACTCAATGTTTGCCCATGGAACACGTTTGTTCTCTTATTCGTGGTATAAGATATGATCTAAAAGGTTTACAGAATCAAGTAAATATTTCACACACACAAATATTTTTCTACTCTCCTACCTAAAGCACCAGGCCAAATCGATACAATATTGATATCAAAACCTAAAATATTGCACATTGCGCAGAGCCAAAGGCTGCCAGAGACCAGTTCATACGGCAGAAGTCTGAATTATATAATATTATTCTGGAAGTTATTTAAAAAAACGGCGCGAAAACGGCGCAAAAACGGCCAGATGCTTCACAAAAATGAAAATG